CCATCATTTCAGACCAGCTGGCCACACACTGGGTGAACCTCTCAGATTCCCCCAGGTTTAGCAATTTGTAGAACAATTCACATAACTCGGGAAAAGGCTCTGCAGTCAAACTTCTTTATTATAGTGAAAGGATGCAAATCAGAACTAGCCCAAGATGGAGGCATGTAGGATAATATCTAGGAGCTGGAGAGCTCCAAAATGAAGCTTCTGTGCCTTAGGGACGCATTCCTGTCCCAGCACCAGTGTGCGACAGGATGTACACAGCATGCCACCAGCCCAGGAGCTTGCTGGACGTCAGTGTCCAGGGTTTCTGGGGTCCCATTCTGCAGACAGGTTGGTCCACGTCAGCCATTTCTAGTTCCTCTCATTCTCCAAGAACTGTTCCAAGTCCTTTGCCACATGGCTGGACGTTCTAGTGTAGGGCCCTATAATCTATCAGTGAATAGCAAAAAGTGCTGGAGGTTTAGGGCTCCTGCTGGGATTTGGGACCGAACTGGCCCTCCTCCTCTATCCCTGCTTGCTCCATTCCTGACCTCCCCCCTTCCCTTTAATTTTTGTAGCTGTTTCCATGGTTGAATTGACTTTTGTCTTTTCTCCACAACCCAATGTATTGACCACATCCTCCATCCCTCCCAGAGGCCTCTCTGTCCTTATGTCCTAAATCGTGGCTGTCATTTCTCCAGTTACTTTGATCTGTGCTTTCTGGTGCGACCCAGTGTGGCTCCTGAGGTTCTTGGGGTTAAGGACCAGCAAGAGGATGAAAAAAAATAACGAAAAGAAAAAGCTGGGGTCAGGTGGAGCCCTTAGCTTCCTGATGGGAGGAAAGGAACTGCTCAACCACTGTAGCACCTTTATTTATCTACTGGATAAGATGATTTCAGCCCCTCTGCCTAGCAACCCATTGCTTGGCAGGCCTCGGCCCCTTGCCTTCTTCATGCTGCAACAACTTGTCTACATAGCTTGTTTTGGTCTTTCTGTTTTTCCTCGGCTTGCTTGCTTTAGCTTCACACAAGTGATCTATCTCCAGCTTCAATGGCTCCCTACAGCTTTCCCCAACACTTCATTTTTCTCTTATCTTTGATGAAGGCGTTTCCCAAGGTCAGAGTCTCCTCTGCCTGACTTTTCCCTTGTTGCTCTTCCTCTTCCTCCCACAGATGAGGTTCCAGGTGTCTGCTTTCAGCCTGGTCTTTGCTTCCAGTTCCACCTGTGCAGAGATTCCATTCTATGACCTGCTGCCCCCCAAAACTCAAAGCGTGTGAGAGTCCCTGCTCTCCTTCCCTTCTAATTTCTCCAATGCTGCCAGTGTAGGAGCTCCAAGTTTCTTGCGCTCTGGGCTCAGGGGCCTTTGGAGCTCACGGTGACCCTAGCTGCTCATAGGTAGGAGGTCCTTCCTTGTGTTCCCAGAGGGCACTGCGGGTCTTCAGGCTATTTGTGTGTTGTCCCTGCTCTCTGTGAGCTGCTTGAGGGCAAGAGCAGATTGCTCCCACATTTCAGTGTGCAGGAAGGTAACCACTTCATCCTGCATTGCTGAGCAAATCTCAACCATGGCCCTTTTGTGTATGGGCCTTCTCCCCTCAAACCCACTCTGCTTCCACTCCTGCTCTCATCCCTGCCCTCCTCATACTTTATTTTTTCAGAAATTTCAATGCCCGAGTGGTGTCTTCTATTCCTCCCCTAAGCCAGTTCTCAATTTGGGCCTAATTATTTGCTCCCAAACTTGACTTTGTGATATTTCCAGCCTTTTCTCTACTGGGAGTCATTTTTCTTAACAGGAACAGTTTGCTTCTCTTTTACTTACTTGTATGTAGGTCCTCCCGCCCCCCACATGGCTCAGCATAAATCTCATCTCTCCTCCCCAGCCCACCTTCTCCTAGTAGCGTTTTCACTGATTTTGGGAAATGTTATCACACACAGCCTGTCCTATCGGTGCTACTAGCTCTCTTTCCTCAGGTGTATTAATATTAATATTCATTTTCCCTGAGTTACACAGGAAGTATCTTAACAGCAAAACCCATGTCTTATTCCTCTATGTGTCACTTTAAACATACATTTTGTGTGGAAGGCGGGGCTGAAGGAAGGGTGAAGAATGGTAGGAAAACACAATTAGAGAGAAAGAATGAATTCTAGTGATTCACAGCACAGCAGGTGACTATTGTTTACAGCAACCTGTTATATAGATTTTTAAGGAACTAGAAAAGAGGAGCTCAATAGCTCTGCACAGAAAGAAATCATAAGGAGCTGGAAACTCGAAAGGCCTGATATGTTCTGTACACAGGTTGAAATCCCACACTGTATCCACAATTAGGTACAATTACTACATGTTAATCAAAGCGTTAAAAAGTAAAGAAATAGATTTTGATGTGCTCAATCCAAAAAGGTGGAAAAGGAAGTACTTGCTGAAACAATTAAAATGTTCCCTTTCAGTTCAACTTCGGAGACGTCTTTGTTCACCAGGCCATCCACACCATTGAGTACTGTCTGGGCTGCGTCTCCAACACCGCCTCCTACCTGCGGCTCTGGGCACTCAGCCTGGCACACTCCGGTGAGTGTTAAAGCACTCAGCATCCAGGCCCGGCTTCCCAGAAGCCCTGCCAGGTCTCCCCAAAACCTCTGCTGAGTCTCAGCACTTCCCACCGGGGCCTAGGTTAGAGGTCAGGGCTTTAATATGCAAATCTGGATTGGAACACAAATGCTCAGCACGCAGCAAGTCCTGTGGCTTGTGTTCTTTTGTGCTCTGTTTTTTTGTATGTAAGTCATGTTACTCCGATTTAGTCGTGGTGCTCTAATAGCTGTAGTTTGCTTTTTGTTGGTGAATAATATGCTACCAAGTATAAGGTGTGGTCAAAAATTGAGGTGAATGTTTACAATTTAAGAATTTATTACAATCAAAGACATATTGTGATTAACCCCTGCACACACACCCCCACCCCGCAAAATGAATCCCCTGACTTGAGGCACACTTTCCCCATCATTCTCGCCACTTTCTGAACCAGTGCTGGAGTTGTCCTTTTTCCTGTCTTTGGTCGCACTGTCATGGTCGTCTCCATGTCCTGAGTCAATTCCCAACATTTACCTTTCGGGGTCACTGTGGCTTTGAGGAAAAGCCAGGTCTTGTGAGCAGCGTGGTGAGGATGCACGGTAATGTTCTGATGAGCCTGGCGCTCTGTGGGATGGCTCTGAATAACAGCGTTCTCCGTAGTTTTGATCAGACCTCATACAGACATCCAGGAAAGAGCAGCTCCAGGACTTCTTCAGAAAGTGGCAAGAATGGTGGGGTGAGTGGGTTTACAGGGAAGGGAGATGAATGGCTATGTGTTTTTTACTGTAATATGTTTTTTAAAAATACAAGCGTTCACTATATACAGCATTTTGATCGTGCCTCTTGTTTGTTTTTCTCATGATGGAAACTCCCCCATTGGGGACAAAGATGCCAGAGTAGCCATTTATGCTCAGGCCCCAGGACACTTCCACCTCAGCATGGGGCTCTGATGATCTGAGATGATGATCTGAAACTAACCTGCATTTCCAAGCCAGACCCCTGGGTTGAGACTGTTGTTTGTGTCTTGCAGAACTGTCTGAAGTCCTCTGGACCATGGTCATGAACATCGGCCTCCGTCTGCAAGGCTGGGGAGGATTTATCGGGGTCTTTGTCATTTTTGCTGTGTTTGCCGTCCTGACAGTGGCCATTCTCCTCATCATGGAGGGCCTGTCTGCCTTTCTCCATGCCCTGCGGCTGCACTGGTGAGCACGCTGTTCCTGGGATCTGTGGGGTGGCGTGAGGAGGTACCAGCTGCAGGGCCAGCAGACTAGGCACACAGCCTCACCTGCGTGAGACATTGGAAATATGTGTGCCTTGCCAGAACATGAGTTCAGCCTTCTGTTTGGACAACAGCAAACAATGTAATAACATACATCGATTCCTCTTTTAAAAATCAAGCCTTCTTTTGTGTCAGTAACCAGCTTTAAGTAAGTGGTGCCTCTGAGCACAGCTAAGGCCACAGATCTGAAGTAGGCTCAGTGATGTGTGCTGTGCAGGGCAGGAGCTATATTTTAGAACAAGGTACTGAATTCTAAAGTGGCATTCACAGATGTACCCAAGGACTAGCCGGGGCACAGGTCAGGGCAGCCACTGCTCTGCAGCAGCATGGCCCACAGTTGGGAACAGGTAACCCTGGGAACGCCTGTTGCATTGTGCTGGAGTGGTCACCTAAGGCTGTGCAGGGTGGGCATCTTCCCCTGGTGAGATGGGAGGTGGGCCGGGCTGCTGTGCTATAGCCCACGAGGCCCAGAGGGTGGGCTGGGTGGGGAAGAGAGCAGGTAAGAGGGCAACGGGAGGACTTGGGATACCGTCAGGGTTCCCACGGCAGCCACCAGCTGGGACAGCATTTCCTATCTGGCCTTCCTGACCTTTAGCTTGCTTCTCACAAGCGTTCTGCTTCTTGTCTCCTCCCGCCACCTCTAACTTGTGTGTTTAATCACCTTTCCTTCCGTGGCCCCCCACACCAGGGTGGAGTTCCAGAACAAGTTCTACGTCGGAGCTGGGTACAAGTTCTCTCCATTCTCCTTCAAGAACATCCTGGAAGGGACGGCGGAGGAGTAGTTTCAGTCCATGTTTCCTGCACCAGGGCCTGGGCCAGCAGTGGGTGTTGAGTCCTGCTGCCGATGGAGAGTGTTTGGTGGATGTTAGTTCTTGGTCACCCGCGGAGACATGAAGCAATGTGCTATTTGGGGTTTGATAACCGTATCAGAGGCGAATTGTTCTGGCAATTCCTTTGGACTTCATGGGAGGTCTTAATTACCAAGTAATAAAATGATTGGGATTGAGGGGAGGTGATAAACCAAGTCTTCTTGTCATATTTGAGGTATTATAATCAAGAAAACACACAAGTGAGCCATTTTTTTCCTGTAGGATGCCTTTATTCAAAACCATCCCATAACATTTAATATCGATAATTATAGAGCAACAGAGAACAATGGAGTTACACAAACTAATCCAGGAGACCGATCGGGTTTATTATATTCCCTCGTTTCTCTCTGCCTCACCTTGTCTCCAGCTTAGCATTACACGCCTGAGAACTTTCTCATGAATTTCCTCTCCAGGCAAGGAAAAACAGGTCGAGTCCTCCGCAGGCAGGGAGGGGAGCCCTGGTGCGGCTTTGCTTGGGCCAAGGGCTGTGCAGTGAAGTGTGACAGTCCTCGGTCACATAAAATGCGTGCTGAGTAACTGGAGAAGGAGGCCCCGAGGGTGTGGGCAGGGCCTGAGGGTGGGGAACCAGGAAGGGCTGCCACACCGTCTGGCTCCTGGCCCCTTTCTCAGGACACCTGGCCTGGCCCACTCCCAAGATCCTGCTAGGATTCATTCCACAGGCTGTTTGTCTGAAGGGCCTTTACCCAGGTGGAAAATCATCTCTGTGGTAGCCAAGTATTAAAGCTTATTTTTGGAGTGCTTAACAATTGAAGAAGTCCTTTCACACAGAATTTAGCTCTAAATATTCATCACCAGTAAACGAAGTTCTAAAAGAGCTGACCAGAGTGAATTTGCCTTTGGGGTGGGGCTCCTTTTTGCCTCCAAGTTGCCATCCACATGTGGGACTGACAGGCAAGTGCAAGTAGCTTTGCTGTCTCATGGCGGAAGCTTCTGTGTCACTGTGGGTCGAGTCCTGCTTTCAGCACTGTGGCGCCCAGGAGGTGTCCATTTAGGGAGTTTGTGCAAAGAGTGCTAGCTGGAGCTGGGGATGTTTGCCTTTGTGTTCTGACTCTGACACTTTGTCATGTGGACTCTTGGGCAAGAAACAGAGTTGTCCATCCATGGTCAGCTGGGGACTATAGCCTCTGCCTCTGGCGGGGTGCCGCTGGACACCATTAGGTGGGTCCCAATCATTTGCCCTCTAAGTTTGACTGGCAACAGCTGTGAGAAAGTGTTGCCTGGGAGAATGGCTCCCTGCCCCTGCTCATACTGTTTGAAAAACTCTGCCCACAGAAACGCAAGTTCATTTCCTTCCTGCTGGCTACTGATCTCTGTCTCCAGAAGGGATTAATCTCCCCTTTGGAAGGGCTCAGGGGAGGGCTGCTGGGCAGGGGTGTGCCCAGGTGTCAGTCCTGCCCTGGGGTGCGAGGCTGTCCCTGCTGCAACCTGGTTGGAGCCCTGAGAAGAGGAAGAGGGAGACCTGGGGCCAGGCGTCTCACTTAGGTGCTTTCTGGGCAGAGAGGCCATCAGTGCTCCGAATTCCACCGCAGACTTGGCTGGACGAGGGGCTGTGAAGGGACAGCTTCCCAAGAACCAAGCACAGGTAAGAACCCTGCAGATGGACCCATGAAGGCAGAGCTGCCTGCTGCTCCTGCCTCTGGCCAGCAGGAGGGAAGTTAACTGTTAGCACACAGCTGAAGGCAAATGGGGTGTGAACATTTCCTTCTTTCTATTGATATTATAAAATAAACTTCGGGGGCTGGGGATTTAGCTCAGCGGCATAAGTACCAGCTTTGCAAGCAGGCAGTCGTGAGTTTGATCCCCGGTACCGGTAAAAATGAAAAAAAGACAAAAAAAAATTAAAAAAAAAAACAAACAAACAAACTTCACACACACTCCTTCACGCACACATGCAAGCACATATTCTTCAGCTTTAAAATTATCCTCAATTTTAAAATTATCTTCAGGGGCCCAATTATTTCTAGCTAAGAAATCTGGTACATCAAAACACAATAAAATGAAATGTCACACAATCCTTTGCAATTTGTATTAATGAAGCTTGAGGTTCATTGCAGCCTTTGTGTTTGGGGGAAATTCCCCCAACCTGTCCATTTTTTTCGCATGCTGTTTTCTGAGATTACTCTCCCTCCTGTTGTTTCTAGGAGTTGATGATAAAGAGCAGGCTTTCTCTCCAACACCTATAACAAATCACTTGCGTATTGCACTGGTCTTGTCTGGCTCATCTTCCTGCGTCAGAGTAAAAGACAAGCCAAGTGAGGGTGAGTAGGTGCCAGACCTGTCAGAGGGGGCGATTTCAGAGTTAAGATCTCTGAAATACTTTATCTTCTTCTGTCTTGATGAAACTTTTTGTTGGAACCTGAGAAAATTGGATGAAAATGCTTTCCGAAGAATCTTAACTGACTCTGGGTAGAAGCTCCTGTCACCCCTTAGAACACCATCTGCACACACGAATGTGAAACCCTGACAACCCACCCACATGCCCAGCAAAGGGTCCTGCTGTAAACCCTGCATCTCCAGGGGGGCTCAGAGGAGCGATTCCCCTGAATGAGGCAACCTCCTTGGCCGCAGAACTGGACTGTGACCATCCTAAGGCAGGGCATGAAAAAGGTGGATGTCACCGTGGTAGACCCCAGACACTGCTCTGGTGTCCGGGCTAGGGCCACCCTGCTCCTCAGTGGAGTTTGAGCGAGTTACAACTCACTTTGTCTCACCTCCAGGAACCACAAAGTCTTTGAGAAAAATAAAGTCTGAAAGCCCTTTCTTCCTGTAAAATAGAGTGGTTTTTGCAGACTTAAGGAATGTAGACCCACTGGAACACTTTTAGTGGAAAGGACCCATTTTCCCTGCCCCCTCTTGATAAGGCAAAGCAAGGGTTGAGCGAAGTTAGACCCCTGCTGGGGGGTCTTGAGCTCTTCCTCCCCAGTGGGAGCCTAATACAAGTGACCATGGTTTCCACCACCACTTACATTGGCCCTTGAAATGCACTCAGCTTCTTTTAGAAAACAATGAACTTCTCTTCACTTTTGGGTGTTTCTTCATTTGAATCCAGTATGTTAGTGTGATATGAGCAGTAAAGACCTCTGCTATGTACTCTTTTTTTTTTTTTTTTCCAAATCCACTTTATTTCAAAAAGAAAAAACAATTTCAAAACATGTTAGGTAGGGGGCAACAATGATACATACATTTCACATTGTCAATCCCCAAATCAGTCACCCAGAGCACAAGACATCTGCATTCAATTGTCTGAACGATACCAGTACAAATCTTTCTCTTCAGTAAACTCAGAGAAATCAGTAGTGTAACTATCTTAACTGTTTTTGTATACATATATACATACATATACATATGTTGTGTCATTAAGCTTCTCACACTAGTGAGGCAAGTTCACTGATGGGGATGCTCTCAACTTGCATCCATTTACCCATAAAGGTCTCCAGTTTCTCCTTCTTTGTACTGTACCTTCTTATGATGCAAGGATCCAGTGCCATATCTGACAAACATCAACTCATTTAATCCTCATAACAGATGTAAGGGGAAGGTTATGAGTTAAGAATTGTTCAAAACTGCCGAGTATCACAGACTGCAGTAACAGTGGCTTCATCCAGAGTGAACTTTATTTTTGTGTGTGAGAGAAAGAAAAAGACGGGCAGGCAGACAGACAGACAGACAGACAGACACAGAGAGACTGAGACTGGGCTGGCTTCTCCTGTCTTCTGTATTTTATCCCATCTGGGCCCCCACCCTGTTAGTTGTGCTGTCATGGCTTCCTGGATGTCCTGGGTGGATTCAGAACCTCGGCTTATTTTTACTTTGTGGAAGAGTTTCTACAAGCCTCCTCCCCGTCGGAAGGTGCTCGGCGGCAACTTCACCATGTTTTTTATCAGGTATCATGGAGACACTCAGGAAAGGGATTTCCAGGACTGCTTTTCAGACAGTACTGAGACCCATGGGCTCAGTGTGGTCAGAGTAAGGACAGTATCTCCCCCTCAGGATTAATCCCTCGCAGGATTAATGACAGTATCTTTTACTGTAATAATTTTAAAAATTTTAAATATTCATCATATACTTTGATTACCTCATGTGAATCTTTGTCTGTTTATCACCATCCTCAGAGTAAAATGCCTTGGTCAACACTGTGTCATCTGTTTCCTAAGTGCCCTCGAGAAACATGTACTAGGCAGGCACGGTGATGCCTGTGCACAGACACCCCTGTAACTCCAGCACTTAGGAGGCTGAGGCAGCAGGATGTCTGAGAATTTGAGGCCAGGTTGGGCCATATAGTGAGTTCAAGACCAGCTAAAATGTGTAGCAAGCCCCTGTCTCAAAAAAACAAAACAAACAAACAAATTTTAAAAATGTACCAGTTTACATTTCTTCTTGATCCCCAATCAATCTTTAACATTTTTGCAGGTCTGATAGAAGAAAATGGTTACATATAAACTCAAATAATGGTTGCAGACATGGACTCACCCTTGTTGTTTATTTTTCTATATTGGTCCTTCAGGTCTTTGACCCTGTATCATTTTCTTCTGACCCACAAAAACATCTATTACACAAGTGTTTGATATTCTATTTACCTTTCTTTAAATTAAAAAATTATTGACTTAATCAGCATACATGGTAATTTCAAACAGACGAACTTATGACAGAAACAAAGCATCTTTGGCTGGGGATTTAGCTCAGCAGCACAGCACCTGCCTGGCAAGGACAAGGTCATGAGTGTGACCCCAGCACAAAAAAAAAAAAAAAGAAAGAAAGAAAGAAAGAAAAAAGAATCTTCTTCTACTTCAACTTTCCCCAGCTCTAGAAAAATTTTTGTTTTTAGTTTTCTCGGTAATTACTTATATAATTAAAACACCATAATTATCCTTTATTTCCTGGTTTAACAAGAATGTATGAAGCTATTACTAAGAAAAGTGCTAATTTATATTATAGCTTCTCCTTTTTGTTATTCCCCCAATATTTTGTAGCATCCTACTTTTATTAAATGTTGTTTATTTGTTTGTTTTTTGAATCCAGAGAGTTCTGCCACTGAGCCACAAGCCTAGGCCTCAGTATTTTATTTTGAGATCCCCATCTCACTAACTTTCCCAGGCTGGCCTTAAACATGAGGTGCTCCTGCCTCAGCCTCCTGAATAGCTCATCACACCTGGCCTCTTAGTTATTTTTATAATTATCAAAAGTATACCTAGACCTTTAGTTCTAACTTGGAAAGTATAAAGTCTTACTATGTCATTCTGTTTTCCCCTTTTATTTGGTCCACTTATTTATTTAAGAAACAAAGTCATGAGCTGGGCATACAGCTCAGCAGCAAAGCACCTGCCTGGCAAGTGCGAGGTCCTGAGTTTGATTCCTGGTACCGAAACAAAATAAAACAAAAAGCCAGAAAAAAAAAAAAAAAAAAAAAAAAAAAAGGAAGGAAGTTAATTTATTCTGTAGAACTTCCCGCATTCTAGATTTTCCTTACTGCATGTACTTGGGGTAGTTTAACACGTTTTTACACTCCCTGTGTAAACTGCTCCATTCTATTTTCCAAAATCATTTCCCAGGCCGTTCCTTGGGATACTTCTGCCAACCACGGCTCCTTGGGCACCACAGCGGGTCACCCCCGCCTGACCGGCCGCACAACCTCACCCACATGGCAATAACCCAGTTACAGCCCACTTCCAGATCTGTTACTTATTAGGAGTTGCAGGACAGTGACAATTTAATTTCCTCTGAAAGTCAAGAGAACTTCCAGGTCACAGTTTTGTCATTGGCTACCTTGGTGCACACAAGAAAACCAAAGTGTTTGCTAGTTTTCAGAGTGAGAAATTTTTTCGTTAGTGTCCTCCGAAGGTGACTGCTGAGTCGTTTTAGCATAACTACGAGTGAAGGGTTTTAACTTGTGTGATGCACTGGAGCTGTTTGCCACTGTTATTTTTGCTGGCATCATTGCATCCTTAACGGCAGCATGGCAGGAGCTGCCTGCTCACCCTAATGGCACGTTTCACGCACTGCAGGTGTAGGGGAAGCACTTTCTCCAGACTAGCTCATGGAGTCCTCGCAACAACCTAGGAGTGAGGTGAAATCATGGTATTTTCCCTATTTTGGAGAGGAAGAAACTGAAGGATACGAAGGACAAACTCCTTAAGCCATGCTTTGTAGGTGGAAGGAAAAACATTTTAGAGACAAGGTCTCACTAGGTAGCCCAGGCTGGCCTCAAACTCCAGGTGATCTTCCCGCCTCAGCCTCCTCAGTGCTGGGATTACAGTTGTGTACCACCATGCCTGGCTCAGTTTTATTCTTATCAGCCACACACTCCCTCGCTCTGCCCTGTCCTAGTCTGGGAAGGAAAGAACTAGAATGCTATAGTGCGGTTCCAGAGGAAGTGTGGCTGAGGGTAAAACCTCCCTCAGCAGGGTTTGGCAAGGCTCCATGAGATTTTGCACATGGTGGGTGTCAGTCAGCATGCTGTCTTTGTCCTTCTACCTGGCAGTGTGGCAGGCACCGGGACCACATGGCATCCAAGCCCAACGAGCCAGTCGCCATCCTCAGCCTGCGCAGACTGAGCCTCTCGGGCCCAGAACCACAGCAGCAGAAAGGTAAGAGCCCTGCTCATCAGCCTGCTGGGTGACGGGGGTGGGGGGGTTGTGACCAGAGGCACTGGACCCTGGCATCGCCTTCAACACAGCAGCGCCCCTCTGCCCTCCCTTGTCAGAGCCCAAGACCTTCACAGTGGAGGACGCGGTGGAGACCATCGGGTTCGGCCTCTTCCACATCGCCCTGTTCCTGATCATGGGCAGCACGGGGGTGAGTGCCCCTCAGGGCTCCCTGAGTCTCTTCGTCTGGCCTCCTTGCTGGGCATTTAGGCTGTTTCTTAAGTGCGAGAGGGAGCAGGTGCTGGGCTCAGTATACACAGGTGCTGCGTCTCTGTGCCCAGAGAGTCAAAGCTCACATTTAAAATGATTTCTCCTGAGGTACAGGGAGATGGGGAGAAAACCCTGGCATTATTCTGTGTAGGGTCAGACACAAAGATCCCCAGTTCTCTTTTTATTTTGAGACAGGGTCTCACTGTGCAGTAAAGGCTGGCCTTGAACTCACTATGTAGGTAGGGTGGCCTCAAAATCATGACAATACTCCTGCATCAGCCTCCTGAGTGCTGAGATTATAGGTTGTGCCATCACACCTGGCCTCCAGATGTTTCTCCATCCCAGGAACCCAGGATATCTATTGTTCTTACAAGTTCCCGGCCCTTTCCAGGCACACGTGCCGCAGGCTGAGTGTGCCCTCCCAACTGCAGCTGAGGCCAATGTAGCAGTGTGAAGAGGGGACCCTGTAGGAGGTGACTGGAACACAATGGGGCATGGGTGTTGGGAACAGGACTGTACAGGGTTAAACTGCTGAATGAAGGGACCTCTGGCTGTGTCAAAAAAGCTCATATTCTGTCTTTAGAGGACAGGACAGGGCTGCAAGGGTAAGGCTGACACGCCCTGTTCCAGAGCAGTAAGACTGCCAACCTTGCGATCAACCAGCTCCCTTAATTACTGAGATTTATTGCCTTCGTTCGGACTTATTCATACTCTCACTGCCTGTACCCCGCAATCTGTAGAAACCCAATAAATACAGGTGCTCCAGAGAAAGGCTTTGGTTTCCCAAGCTGGTCTCTAATACCTGGGCTCGGGTGGGCCGCCTGCCTCGGCCTCTCAGATAGCTGAAACTACAGATGTGCTCCTTATAAATTATGGGCTCTCACCAGACACTGTGGTGCACACCTATAATCCCAGCACTCAGGAGGCTGAGGCAGGAGGATCACAGTGAGTTTCAAGGCCAGTCTGGACTCCAGAGTGAGTCCCTGTCTCAAAAAATCAAAGCAAACAATCCAGGCATGGTGGCATGGTGGCACATGCCTGTAATCCTAACACTTGGGAGGCTGAGGCAGGAAGATTGTTATAAATTTGAGACTAACCTGGGTTACAAAGTGAGGTCAAGTTCAGCCTGAACTGCATAGTGATGCTCCATCTCAAAAAAAACAAAAACAAAAACAATAAATTTCACAATCTTGAGTATTTTGTAGGCAGCACAGTAGCCTAAGACATTTCCCATATGCTGTTTGGAAAGACAGGTGTCTCCCATCCCAGGCTTTGAGAACAGTTGTGAAGTTTGTGAAACTACAAAACCATGACTTCCTACTTTAGTAGAAGGACAGATAATATATTAAGAACCCCAAGCTTAGCTGAACTGAGGGACATGCTTGTCACCCCTGCACTCAGGAGGCTGAGGCAGGAGAATCCCAAGTTTAAGGCCAGCCTGGGTAATTTAGAGATACCCTGTTGCAGAACTGTAAAGAGGGCTAGGGTTATAGCTCAGTTGAAACGTATTTTTTCAGCATGTGTGAGGCCTTGGGTTTCATCCCCAGAACTGAAAGACAAACTGAGATGCAAGTGATAATTCAGAGAGAGAGAGAGGAAACTACATTCAGAAGACAGTGGCTCGGGGAGGAAGGAGGGAAGGATTCCTAGCAGGCGGCGAACTGACCACATGTGAGAAAGACAGGAGCTCTCCGACACTCTTGGCTCAGGAGGCTGGACCCAGGGGGTAAGAGGGGCAGAGCCAGGCACGGTGGCACATGCCTGTAATCCCAGCTACAAGAGGCTGAGGCAGGGGGATCCTGTCAACTCAAGTCCAACCTGGGCTACACAGAGGATGTTGTCTCAAACGAATGAAAATGAATGAGGGAAAGTATTTTAGTCCAACTTGCACGATCACCAACAACACCACGTAGAACACTTCCCTGCCTATGGAGCAAGGTCTCCAGAGGTGCTGCAGACTGAAGGTTCTGTATTCAAGTGACAAGTGTGTGGCAGGGGTAAGGGCTGACTCAGCTCTCTTCCACAGGCGTGAAATGACATCTGCTCTTTGCTTCTCTTTACTTTAGTACTGAATATTGAACTCGGGGCCTTCACACTGAGTTAGATCCTCAGACTTTTTCATTTTTATTTAATTTTCAGACAGGTGGGGTCTTGCTAAGTTATGAAGTTCCCCAGGCTGGGCTTGAACCTGAGATCCCCCTGCCTCAGCCTCTCAGACTGCTGAGATTACAGGTGTGGGCCCTCTTTCACTGTCTGTTTCAGTTCTTCCCAGCTCCCCTGCAGAAAAGCGTTCTTGCCCTGGCTCCTGATCCCTGCTCCTCCCACACACAGGGGGAACAGAAGCGCTGACTTAAGTGCAGTTGGAGGAACCCTGTCCTGATCTTAGGATAGGAAGCCTGGTGGGCCCCATCCTCAGAAGGGGTGACAGCAGTGGGTACACCCTACACCTGTGACAGGGGCTGAGGAGGGTGACAGACAGGGCAGGTGGAGAAGTACTGATGGCCAGCACCTGGGCCTGGTGTGATTTTTACTTCTTCAAGGTGGTCGAGGCCATGGAGATCATGCTAATCGCTGTGGTGTCCCCTGTCATCCGCTGTGAGTGGCACCTGGAGAACTGGCAGGTGGCATTCGTGACCACGGTGAGTACCTGTGTCCTGTGCCGTGCAGGAGCAGCTGAAGGGCTCAGCTCCCCTTTCTGTACCCTCGGGATGGCCACTGAGAAACAAATCCCTAACCTTGCAGGCTGGCAGGGCTGGCCATGTAATTAGAAGCCACTCACTTGGGCCATCGTGAGCTAACCAGTTGCCCTCATTGAATGGACTGTCACTCTGTCACCTTCTCTCAAAGATGACAAACAGCCTTATGTGCTGTACACAATGTTTTTCTGCCAAGCAGAATTAAGCAAGTTACCTGCCATTCTTTCCAAAGTCAGAGCTGGCCGCAGGTTTTGGGTGTGCATGGCAAATGAGAAGGGAAGGTGAGGTTTCCGGGGTGAGGGGACCCTGAAGCACCCTTGGGCTTCATGTAGACTCCATCCTACTGGACCTGCTCCCTGACACTGGGCCAAAACACACAAACCCTCCAAGAAAAAAATATTCAATGCAAATAATGTAGAACACTTTGCAAATTGCCATTTTGTATATAGTTATTATGTTTCTCCTTCAATGGATTTGATTTTTTTTTTGTTTGAGACAGAGTCTCTTTTGGGTAGTTTAGACTGATCCTATGTAGCCCAGGCTGGCTTCAAATTAACAGTGATCCTCCTGCCTCAGCCTCCTGAGTACTAGGTCACAGATGTGCACCACCACACCAGGCTATGTGTGTTGTTATTCATTGCTTTGTTTTCTGAGACAGAATCTTACTGTGTAGTCAGACTGGTGCTGAGCTCACTGTTTAGCCCAGGCTGGCCTCAAATTCACAGTGATCCTCTTGTCTCAACCCCCTGAGTGCTAGGATTACAGGTGTGTGCCAAGTCTCAACAGTATACACTTTTTTAAAAAATTAAGTTTACTGCTACATTTTAAGTGTACATAATGATCACATTCATTGTATGGCTTGCTGCTTTTACTCCCATTCCCTCTCCCTCTGTTCAATCCCTCTGCCCCTTCTTATTTACAAAACTTTCTACACAATTGTTTAAACCAAAGGTCATACTTGGGCTTGTAATAAAATGACAAGTGCAAATAGGCTCTGACAAAGTAGGTGGGATCAGCAGTAATGTTAGGGCTATCTCAATTCCCACTGATTGTCTGGTTGCCTTTTGGGCGGTGGCGTCTGCCAAATTATTTTTGTATAACAAGGTCATCTCCTGCCCAATGGGCTATACAGTGGATAATAGCCACTCTCCATGGCATCCAGATGGCAGCCAACAAGTTCAAAATTTGGGGAGCATTTTTAATCTTTTGACCCCAGAAGTCAATAAGCACCATTCTTGATAAATGGCCTCGTGATTATGGGCAGTAACAAATACATACTTTGACAACTTGAGGCCTCAGTGAGGGCAATGAGTTCAGCCCGTCGGGCCAATGTTCCCGGCTCCAGGGTTGGTTCCCATTGAATCTGAGAGTTTGTGGTAACGGTAGCTCCCAAGACCTGCTTACCTTGATAAATGTAACTGCTTTCATCAGAGAAATATAAAGGAACTCTTAATAGTGGCTCATCTGTCAAGTCTGGTCCCCAATACAGTCGTGGAGGGGCATCATCAGGCAGCAGAGTAGCAGAGTTTGAAGCCACTGTCCCCTTGAAATTGATGGTAGTCAGATCTACAAGTAATGCTTGATAATGCATGACTTGGGAGTTGGGCAGCCATCGGTCTGGCAGAGCCTTGATGAGAGTCTCCAGTGAATAGGAAGGGACAATTAGGAGTTTTTGTCCAAAAGTCAATTTTTAAGCCTCCTTTACCAGGAGGGACACTGAGGAAATCACCCGCAGACAGAGTGGCCATCTGGCTGCCACATAATCAAGTCTCTTGGAAAGATAAACAACAGGCCTCTGCCAGGGTCCCAAACTCTGGATCAGTCCTGTGGCTCCTAGAAATTTTTGCACTAGCCTTTTAGTCACAGGGACTGGAATCTGTTGGGTGGCTTGCATTTGCTGGGAGGAAAGAGTCTTATTTTTTTTTTATGGAGAGTCCAACAACCAATGTAGTCTTTTTAAAAGCCCAGCAGAAACCTCTTAAGCCTGGTCTTTAGGGTCCTCTTGGTTGTCAAATCTCTTTTAAGCAACCTCTAATAACTGACTGAAGAGAATTTTTTAAAAATCTCTCAAACTTTTGCAATTTTTGTCTAATGTCTGGGGCCGACTGAGTTACAAAGAGAACAACTGGTGATACTGGTGAACCTCCTTACCTAAGGTTGTTCAATAGGGGTAGGACAAAAGGAAAACATGGTCTGGCATTCCAGATCAGAGAGCAGGCTTCATCTGGATGGCACACTGCTTTTTGTCCCAGGGTGCCACGTGGCAGGCCATTGTTTTACTGAAATTACATACTTAACAAAAGAGGGCTTTTTTATAGGTAACAAAATTAATTGTGTTGTATAATCTCCTAGATGTCCACAGCACATGCAAGAACTTGTATTTTATTTCTATAATCATTAATCACATTAGCACAATAGTTATTATATATATTTTTAAAATTTAGATCGGCTTTTTTCAGTACAAGACGAATTTTTTTTTTTTTTTCTTCTCTTTTTTTCCCCCCATAATCAAAATCTCAACTCTGTCTTTACAATCTATAACATTTCTGGAAATTCCCCTCCCCCAAACTCACAGTATTGCAAATTATCCTGTTGGGCTCTTTGCTCTTGATTTGCAGCATAAAGCTGGCTAAGAGCCCCCAACAATAGCCATGCCACAGAAAGCATTTTTTTCTTTTACATTTTTAATTTAAGACAAAACCACCTTTTAAAAAATTACCAGTCAATTATTTTTTTTTTGCTTTTTAGACAACATTAAAACCTTTAACAAAATCCTTGAAGTGACCTTTTTAGTAGTCTAAAACATAATTATTTTATGTCTTTTTATCACATTAAAATGCTACATTAAAAAAAATTGTAACCTTTTAAATTGGCTCAATTACAGTATGACCTGGTTTTTACTTGGTAAAGTTAATATGACTTTTAAAAACTACAAATATACATATATATGTACACATATATTTACATGTTAACCAGAAAGAAAAATACTTTTAAAAAAAAAGGCACCCCGAGGTTGCAAGTAATAATTGAGAACTAAAACATTAAACAAGGCACCACAAAAGACAAGACCAACATTAAAGACACAAACAAAGGTTGTTTTGTGCACAGTTTGGTGAGCTAAAGGAAATAATTTTCATTATGAACCTTCATTATGGACCATTATAAGTCCAATGAGCCACACGGATCCTGCAACAGAAATGGCCAACAAGCCCCTAAGTTAGTAACAAATTCAACAAGTTCGAATGGGCCCAAAAAACCCCCCAAAGTGAGTAACAGATTCAAACAGGCAGACAATTCCAAAGTACAAAAACACTGATCATAAATACACACGGGCAAAAGGCCTCAAAGTTACAGACGGGCCAAAGCCCCAAATGGGCCGAAACCACACACATGGGCCGAAGCCCCAAACGGGCCCAAGACCCACACACATGGGTCAAACCCCGAAATGGGCCAAAGCCACACATATGGGCTAAAGCCCCATATCACATATGGGCAATAGCCCCCGGATTCCGGTGCAGAAGGAGCCCTGGCTTGTCTACAGTCATTGCGCGCATTTAATTACAAATGGGCAAAAATCCTCACAAGGGCCAAAGCCCAAACAAAGTTACGAATGGCCCCCAAAAGCCCTAAAATACAAAAGGGAGAAGAAGGCCCCAAGAAGTTGTCTCATTTTATCTGTAGTTATAAGTGTACGCACTCAGATTATAAACAAGCAAAAAAACCCCAAATACTTACAGATGTTTAGCCGATCGATCGGTGAAAAAATAATTTGGGGGGGTCCCCCTTAATCCTGGATGAGCCCTCAAATCTTGTAATCCACAAACGAGCCCCCAAACTTGAGTTCAAAAAAATGAGGCAAAAACATATTTTAAAAAGCAGTGCTGATTTATTTTATCCTGGGCCCAGCGACACAGTGCAGTTGGAGATTGCAAAAGCTGTGTGTGTGTGTGTGTGTGTGTGTGTGTGTGTGTCCCGCCCCCCCATACTTGCAGCCTTTATATATATCACTGTTTACAAAGTAAGGGGTTTGGACATGGATCAGGAGGTAGGCTAATGGGGAAGATCCTTGTTTTTCTCAGCAGAAAACAGAGGAGTCTAGCAGCAATTAACAACCTTTTGTTACCTTATTTTAGCACCACATCTGTTATTTGTAGAGGGCAGCAGTGGTTAACATATCAATTAGGTCACCCAGAGGGAGAAGGGAGAAGAAAAACATATATTAAACAGTTAGGGTCACGTTACAGGTATTTTGGTATAATATAAATAAAGCAAAGCTCTTTTTTCTAGTGTATAACAACTACCACCTTCAGAAGGAGATCCCCAAAGATACCATACTGCCTACCATTACCCTCTGAATAGATGATCAGACCGCCCCTAGACCTGCAAAGTCAGTGAAACACCAAACACCACAAGCACCAAATTGCATTTTACCTCAATAGCTATCATCACAGCCTGTGCTTCTCTGGATCAGCTGGTTACTTACAGGGGTCTGGGGTATTGGGGCATGGCTCTTCTTGTTTCCCAGCCCATGCACCAGAAGGGGCTGGGTTCTGGCTGTGCCCCCAACCGTGGCTTCTGCCCTGGTCTCACCATACCCACTGTTGAAGCCATGAGCCCACATTTCCACCATCTCCTGGACTTTCCAGCCCTAACTCCAACTCCACCAAGGCCCAAGCCGCTGTTTGTTGAGAGCTAAAGATTTCAGGTTAATTACCTCCTCTCACTCTGGGAATCAGTCACTCAGTGCTGGAGAATCAGTTCCACGTGGTGATTAAACCAGGAGCATAAGAGTCACTTTTTATATTAAAAATAAGCACCTGCCGGTTTTAGTCTCCACATGCTCTCCCAGATTGGGTTGCAGAATCATGGGCTTACAGGCCTAAGGGCCAACACAGGCTGTGAATCCAGGCTTCTATCGTACAAAACACAGAGCGAGATCATAGCTTTCATCATTCAGGACTACATAGGATTTTCCTTTGTAGTTGCCTGTGACAAAATGAAGCTAAGTCTCCTGAGGAAGGTAGGAGGTGAGAGAAGCCGCTTTTCCCCAGAAGGTGCTAGAAACAAAGCTACCCGTAAAAGCTACCCATTTCCTTTGACTATCCTGGGGTGGGCCAGGCAGGAGCTGGGAAAAAAAGTCCTAGCAGGAAACTGCTAGAGGCGGACAAATAAATACATAGCCTGAAGGTGCTCACAGGTGCTTTCATATCAGAGGGAGTTCAGATGTCAGATTTTATCAGGGGCACACAAGCCATTGTGAGAACCTGAAAGAAGAAGCTTCATTTTAGGATTTATATTTATTTTGAGGAGTTTGTTTGTCCTGGGAAATTGAACCCAGGGCTTTTGTATCAAGCTACATCCCCAGCTTTTTCCCTTTTAAATTTCTAGTCAGGGTCTTGCTTACTTGCTAACGTGCCCAAGCTGCATTTGCTGTTCTCCTGCCTCAGCCTCCCAGAGTGGCTAGGATTACTGGTAGGCACTATCACCATTCACGGAATTTTTTTTAAATAGATGATTTGGCTTGGGCGTTTGTGTGAGGTTTGTTACACATATGAACCTAAAGGAAGACTGCTTCTCCTGGCATCTGCTTGCCGTGGATAGGGCAGAGTTGGCATGAATGGAGATGTCTGTGATTACAATGGAAACTCACAGTGATAGCCCAGGTCCAGCCAAGGCCATCATGTGGGGCCAGCGAGGGCACAGCCTTGTGGCCCCCTTTCCTCAGGGAGCAGTGTCGGAAAGTGTGGAGTCCCCACAGGAGGCAGAATCATCTGTCTTGGAGCCTTGGGTGCATGAGTTGGCGTCCCAGGAGGGAGTGTAGGGAAACCGCTTTAACTCCCGTGTCCCCTGCCTTTCCAGCCCCTTTAGCTAAGATGGATGAGCGTAGTAAGTGAACATCTTAGCTGGTCTTGCTGAAGCACCTTGTGCCTCCTTCTCCAGATGGTGTTTTTCGGCTACATGGTGTCCAGCATACTCTTTGGGCTCTTGGCTGACAGATATGGTCGCTGGAAGGTAGGTTGGGAATTTTCTTTGATGCATTCTATGCTTCTCTTCCATGAACACTAACACCCAATTCTCTAACGGAAAATGTAGAAATTCCCTTCTCTGATAGTACATTCCTGAGCTCCAGGCTTGTCATCCTGGTTTTACAGCTTATTCTCACACCTGGCACCTTACCGTCAAGCTGCAGCCATGAGGAGTATGCATAGTTAGACAGGTCAAAAGTGGGAATTTGCAAGCCAGCTATACATTAGTTAACTTTGGTTCAGCTGTGAGGCTAAAGACTTGTGAGACTGCAAGTCTTCTGATTTTAAACCTGGGTCTCTTCTTTTCTTGTTTGTTTTATGTATGTATGCATGCACCTATTTATTTAATTTGAGACTACGTAGTTCGGGCTGGCATTGAACTCACTTTTTTTTAAGTTTTTTTTTGGTACTGGGGATCAAACTCACGACCATGCACTTGCAAAGGAGGCACTTATGTGGCTGAGCTAAATCTCTGGCCCAGTGTTGAACTCAGTTTGTAACCCAGGTTGGCCTTAAGCTCCTGGTGATCCTCCTGCCTCAGCCTCCCAGGTGCTGAGATTACAGTCATGAACCACCATGCCTGGCTAAAATATCATAGTCTTATAAATTAACATGAAATTAGAAGTATCTCAGAAAGGAAAAACATCATAAAAAGGCATTTTACAAAAGAAATGTGATAAACCTTGAAAACATAATCTCAGGAGTTACCAAAAGCAAAATCACATAGCAAAACATCATTTTTCCTTATGAAATTAATATTCAAGTTCCAGACCATAACACATTTTTCTTAAGCTGTCTTCCACTGTTGAAATGGACATGTTTATGCTTTAGAAATACAGACATCCTCATGTACTACAGGAAACCAGAAATATGTCACCCCCAAAACATGCCTTTTTGAAATAAAATTATTTTTGATCTAATGGCAGTAATAAAAGGAGAAAAACTGTCTTCTCCTGTTTTCTGCCCAAGACAGGATCCAAACACTGCTTTTCTGGAGGTGATTCTGCACTCTTAGTCTAGAGGGAGCCGTAGAGGAGTCTCAAAGCCAACTGCTCCACTCCTTTCCTCTCCTGTATTAATTTCTCTCATCCAGAAGCCTGCAGCTGCTTTTGATGCTGCTTCTCCAAACCCCGGGCTCTCCACTGATTCCTAAGCCTCACCTCTCAGGTGCTTCTTGCAGTAGGTCCTCGCTGGTCCTGCGGAGGGTGTGTGTTAATATGTCTCACTTTCATCTCCTTCACCTGTCTTATGTTGCAGGGTGCAACTCAACTAAGATCTCAGATTGAGATGCAATATTCCTTTCATATCGTGTAACATCCCTGGTCTTCCGTGTGGCAGTCAGAATGAAGAATTTTGAAAAGATCCACTCTCCTGACCTGACCCTTACCTTGCATAATCTAGCTTGTCAGGGAGGCCACAGAGCCGCACCCACAGATGTCATCCCTGTTCTATAGTGAGAAAATTAGAATCAGCTCCTGTGTTCAACAGCAGGGTGTATAACCAATTTATGGTTTAGGTGGCATGCATTATAGTACATCTTTCTTCTGGAATATTGTATAGCCGTTACAAATTTGCTTTCCTTTACAAGGAAAATAGGCTTTTAAAAGTTTTAAGTGTATTTTCTCTTGGCTGGAGAATCAAAGATTTCAATTTTTTATTTTTTTCTTCCTTATTCTTTGCTATGAACTTGTAATACCTTTTCATCTTCTAATTACACTGGCTTAGTACTGTACTTCACTAGCCCACAGCCTGTGTGTAGAGAAATGGGCTTTCTCTTTCTGATGCACATTCCAGTGCCTGCCCCTGTTACAGCGGGCAGCAAGGACGCTGGGGAACGGCCTCCCCTGGGTCAGCTGCGCTGCGTTGGCTGAGAGGCCAGCGCGCTGCTGGTCTGAGAAGGACAGGAGAAATCACCATGGGAAGGTGGATTCTCTCCCATCCCCCATCCAGAGCGGGTCCCCTGACAAGTTCTCTTCTGTTGATCCAGATTTTGCTCATCTCCTTCCTGTGGGGTGCCTACTTCTCCCTGCTGACCTCGTTCGCACCCTCCTACATCTGGTTTGTGTTTCTTCGGACCATGGTGGGCTGTGGCGTGTCCGGCCATGCTCAAGGGTAAACACTGCTCTGGGAATCCTGGGAGGGGGAAGGAGTTGTCGGCCCACAGGGTAAATCTGTAGAATAGATCAACAACTTGTAATAAACACACTTCACTGGTGCTAATTATTTTTGAGCTTTTTTTTTTTTTAAGCGATGGCTTCATACTCCATTAGGAGCCATTTGCCATGGATACAATGCTTAATAGTAAAGCTTACAGAGTGTTAGCCTCTTCTTCCAAAGGTTATTCATTCAGAGTCTAATCATCATCTTTAAATTTTTTTTTGTCTTTTTTTCTTTGCACGGGGACTTGAACTCACAACCTCACACTTGCCAGGCAGGCACTTAAATTCCCGACCATAATCATCATTTTTTAGACCAGCACAATTCTGTTAGACCAACCAAGTTAGTGTTTAGAGTGTAGTTTGGCCATCAGGAGTTGCTGTTTTAAAGTGCTACTACCCTGCAACTTTAGACTTCCCAGCAAAAATTCATGAAACAGGCAGAGACTGATTGAAACTGCCATAGGGCCTCTTGCCCGTTTAGTGCCCGTGGGTAAGGAGACTGGGCTTCTTGATAATAGGTGTGAAATGGTTTCCTTAACCATTCTGACTTGGGGGAGCCTCCTGGAAATTAGCTAGGCTCCTCCAGCTAAGCTCTCCCCAAAGCCTTGGGGCACGTCACACTGAAACTATCAGGAGATGTCAGAGTACCTAATTATTACCTTAATGTGTTGGAGAAGGAATTGTTCTTCCCTCGGGCATGAGTTAAGAAGGCTCTGAGCTTTAAAAGCCTAAGGGAATAGATGATGAGTTTTTAAATATCCCAGTAACAATGTTAAAAACTCCAGTCCTCAGTAATCACAGCAATAGAAAAGTCCAATTAGAAAATGGAATGGAATCATATCCCATCCTTCTATTCACAAAATTAATATGTACTTAGACATCTATATTTTGACCGGCATTGGGAAAATTACTTTTGCTTGGGTGTATTGTATTTTTAATTTTCTAGGTATGATTTTTTAAAAAGGGAATCAGTCTGAGCAAACTTAGCTAATGCTGCTCTTGGCAGAAAAAGATGTAGTTACTATCTCCTAAGTGGTAGGGGTGTATAATAAACAGTTGTGAGTTTACTTAGTTTTTTTATTTTCTCTTTCCCTTTTTAAAATTTATTTTTATTTTTATTTTGTCTTTTTGAGACAGAGTTTTGCTATGCAGTTCAGACTGGCTTTGATTCACTGTGTAGCCCAGGCTGGCTTTGAACTCTCAGCAATCCTCCTGCCTCAGTCTCCCAAGGGCTGGGATCACAGGCATGACTGTCACAGCTGGCTAAGTTTATTTCTTACTGGTCACTTAAGTGCACATTAGCTGTCACAATTACATTTTGATACACAATGACATTTTATATTTTTGAATTCTTTATACTTACAATTGTCTAAAGTTAAGTCATCTGGCTTTATAGAAACAAAATTACCGTGTTTTTTTTTTTTTTTTTTTCCTCTTTCTTGTTTAGGCTAATTATAAAGACTGAATTTCTGCCCACAAAGTATCGAGGCTACATGCTCCCCTTGTCTCAGGTAAGGTAGAGCTGGAATTCTACCCTGTCTGCTGCATTTGATAGGGGATGAGGCTCGTGGAGTTTCTTCCGGCTTTGGCTAGAGTTCTGCCTATTATTTGGCACCAAATAAAAAGCATTGAGAGTGCTTGGAGTCAGGGATCCAATTACAAAGCTTCCTGAGGCCAGGACATCTATCATCCCAGGTGGCATTTAGAGCCCAACACTGGCTCCCTCCTTGACTATGTGAGGAGCAGGCTCTGCGTGGCTCATGCATGGAGATCATTCCCACCATGTCCCATAGCTGACAGCACCCCGGCTGTGTCCCCATCCCGCCTTGACAGTCAGCTTCCAGGTCTCCTTGGGTATCTAACTCACCCAGTCGCATTAGCGCTCCATCAGTGGCTGTCCCCTGGCATCTGAGGGGACTGGTTCTGGGAACTCTTGTAATCCACAAACGAGCCCCCAAACTCGAGTTCAAAAATGAGGCAAAAATATATTTTAAAAAGCAGCGCTGATTTATTTTATCTTGGGCCCAGCAACACAGTGCAGTTGGAGATTGCAAAAGCTGTGTGTGTCCTGCTCCCCATACTTGCAGCCTTTATATACACATCACTGTTTACAAAGTAAGGGGTTTGGGCGTGGATCCGGAGGTAGGCTAGTGGGGAAGATCCTTGTTTTTCTCAGCAGACAACAGAGGAGTCTAGCAGCAATTAACAACCTTTTGTTACCTTATTTTAGCACCACATCTGTTATTTGTAGAGGGCAGCAGTGATTAACATATCAATTAGGTTAGGACCCCAGGGATTTACAATTCTTCACAGAGGAGAGCATTGATTAACACGCCAGTTAGGTCACCCAGAGGAAAAGAAACACGCATATAGAACAGTAGGTCACATTACAGGTATTTTGATATAATGGAAATATAACTTTTTGCTAGTGTACAACAGGACTCAAATAGCCCAGAGTCTGTGGATGCTCAAGTCCCTCCCATAAGCTGTATGATGGGCGAACGTCCTCTCACCCACTTTAATGCATCCCTGGAGGATTTACAGTATGGAGGAAAGAGCTGTGAAAGAGTTTTTCCACTGCATTGCTTAGGAAATAACGACAAAACCTACGCATGTTCAGTTCAGGCACAATTTTTTTTCTGAGTATTTTTAATATGTGGATGGTTAACAGTATGCATGTGAAATTTGTGGATGTTAAACCACAGGACACTCAGACCCTGCTCCTTACACCACTTGGTCAACTGCCAAACCCTGGTGATTTGTCACCATGATCCCAGCGTCTGTCAACAAACCTTGTGATACTTCTACTTCAAAAGTGTGTGCCTAATTTTAAAAATGTGCCATTTTATTACTGAAATCCTACCCATGCCACCTCACTCTTTACTAGGGCTGCACCAATGGTCCTATCTATTGTATGTTCACAAAAATTAACTCCATCAGGGGCTGGGGATTTAGCTCAGTGGCATAAGCACCTGCCTTGCAAGCAGGCAGTCATGAGTTCTATCCCTGGTACCGATAAAAAGATAAAAAAAAAAAAAAAAAAAAAAGTAAAAAGTAAAAAAAAAAAAATTAACTGCATGCAGGTCACTCTCCATCATGTTATTATTTCTTTAGAGCCCTAACCACCTTCTGAAATACTTTTTGGCAGTGGAAACCTTTCACAAAGTAGTACTCCTTAATTATTTCCCTAAAGGATTGTTATTATATTTGGCACAGCCCTGGGTTTGAACCCAGGGCCTTGCAAGTACTCTGCCACTTTGCTATACTCCTATTCCTTTTTATTTATCTTTTAAAATTTGAAACAGGTTCTTATTAAATTGCCCAGGGTGGCCTGGAACTTGCAATCCTCCTGCCTCAGCCACCCTGTCAGGTAGCTAGGATTGCAGGTGTGCACCCCTGCACTTGGTTGAAAGAACCTTCTAAATGCCGGTGCACACCTGTAATCCCAGCACTCAGTAGGCTGATGCAGAAGAACTCCCTGAGTTCAAGGAGGGCTCAAATTACAGGATGAGACTCTTGCAAAAAATAGCAGGAAAAAACCAAAACAAAACAAAATCCCCCAAATCTCTAAGGTACATTTATATATACAAAAAGCAAAGTATGGAATATTACGTGTGCTACAGTGCTGCTTGTGGGGAAAAAGAACAAAAATGTATCCTCATTAGCTTGCACATGTCTAGAAGAGGTTTGGAAAGCTGCAGAAGAAACGGGTAATATTGGAGAAATGAGATGGCAGAAAAGTAGGAGAAGAGAATGTGTTCACAGTCCCTCCAGGTCACTTGTGTGAGGGTCAGCAATCACTTGCTTTAGAAAAATAAGTCCTTGACTGGTGTACTGAGGTACTGGAGCTTTTAAACTTTGGAGATGTTACTGACTCTCTAGCTAAGGGTCTGGTGTCTGGAAATCAGATGGAGCCACAGAGAAGTCGAAGTGTCACACACTCTGTCCAAGTCAGAGGCATCAAGCTGAAGCAGAACCTGATCCGTTGCTTCTTGAGTCCCCTCTCGCTCTTGAACCGTGCACCTGCTGGGCTCTGGGGAGGGGCAACTCAGGGCGCCTTGGTGAGGAGGCCTCACACAGCTCTCCCCGCAGGTTTTCTGGCTTGCCGGCTCCCTGCTCATCATCGGCCTGGCTTCTGTGGTCATCCCCACCATCGGGTGGCGCTGGCTCATCCGCATTGCCTCCATCCCGGGCATCATACTCATCCTGGCCTTCAAGGTAGGGAAGCGTTCCACTCCCTCTGGGCTCTCCTGCAACTGGCCCACTGGCCCTGAGGCCCTACCAGTATCTATCCCAGATCAGTGTCTTTCCTTTCTCAGAGTTCACTGCCCTCTTGATGGGTCTGGGAGTCTGGCCCTGTGGGTGTTGACTTCCTTTTGGCTGGTAGCACTCACCCTTTGGAAGCTGAACATGTGTTCAGGAGACCACGGACCTGCTGGCTTGTCCTCTGTTCCGCTGTTTAGGAGCTGCCCACAGCAGGGTCACCATCTCTATAGTTTCTAGCAGGATTTGCTCCTTGTTCAAAGACTGGATTGGCACCACAGCAGAACTGGACTCCAGTGCTTTTATGTCACCTGCCCTGCAGAATGCAAGCATTTTAGCACTCACAGGGTTCTTAGTGGTCATTTAGTACAACCCCCAACCCAGGCATCTGGATAGCAGGTCTCTGGCAGAACCTGCCCAGCTTCAAACACACGTCTGCCTTGCAGAATTCTACTGTGCATCCATCTCCAGGCAGTTGTTAGCACTGCCTACATTAGGACTAAATACCTTCTACTTTTACTGCAGGTCTTGCTGCTTCTCTTTGGAAAACCAGAGCTTTCTCTTCTCACTATGACAACCCTCTAACTATTGGTGAATGATGCACCCCCAAACTCTCCCTCTTCTGATTGAAATACAGTTGTCACCTCTAAGCCTTCCCATAACAGCAGGCCCTGAGTCTGTCCCACTGTTGCTGGACAAGTCTGGTGGGCAGGGCACTGGTGCTTACTGGCACACACAGGCCACAGTGTAGGGGTCCACTGTTTACCGAGTGGACTGTGTGCCTGTGCAGTGGTAGACAGGCATTGTGCTTGCTTGGTGAGCTCCATCCACGTGCTCTGGGCTTACCATCAGCTACACCCCTAGGACCCTTCTATGGGGGTTAACTTCAAATCTAGACCCTGACCTGTGACTGATGATTTTCCTAACCCTAAATCAAAGCACTGCCATTTAACCCTTTGGTTCTGGTGCCCTCTCGCCTCCAGAGACCTCCGTCCCTGTGGCAGATTTCAGGGTGGGGAGGTTTGTACCAGGGATCGAACTCAGGACCTTCCACTTACCAGGCAGGCACTTTGCCACTGAGCTACATATCCTACCCTAGGACAGATTTCTGAAGCAGCTTTGAGTTCAACAGAATTCTGACATCCCAGGCACCTCTGAGGCTCTCTGCTTCGTTTTCCACCTTGGGAAGGTCAGACTGTATGGTGGATGTTGAAAGGGTGGCCTACCCCAGAGCTCACAGACGATGATCTTTGTTACCTGTGTCCAGTTTATTCCAGAGTCTGCTCGGTTCAATGTTTCCACGGGGAACACCCAGGCTGCCCTGAGCACTCTGCAGCACATCGCCCACATCAACCGCTCCGTCCTACCTGAGGGGCAGCTGGTGGAGCCTGTGCTGGTGAGTTTGGATCCAGTCTCTCACCGCAAGGGCCGGGCACCCTTTCCTGAGCATTTTTTATTATACCAAAACACACATGAAACTTGCTGTCTTTTACGTTTGGAGTCACAGTGTGGTGATATTTAAGTGCCTGTGTTTATTATGCCACCATCCCTGCCATCAATCACCGGGCTCTTTTCATGGCACAAATTGAAATTCTGTGCCCATTAAACCAGAATTCTCAGGCGGGGGATATAGCTCAGCAGCACAGCACCTACCTGGCAAGCACAAGGTCCTGAGTTTGATTCCTGGTACCACTCCCCTGCCAAAAAACCAAAAACAAACAAAAAACCCCTCCTATCTCCCTTATCCTGTGGCACCTACATTTTATTTCTTAGTTTGTTCATCTCTATGAAATTGCATTTTCCAAGTGCCTTATGTAAGTGGGTATAGCAGCTGTCATTTGTGCCTGGCTTATTTCAAACTTAACATAAGTTCCCAAGTCCCGACCATATCATAGCACATGTCAGGTGTTTTGTCCTTCTGTGTATGAGACACTGGAGATGGAGCCTGAGACCTTACACCAGGTGAGTACTCTGGCCCTGAGTTGTATCCCTAGCTCCAGGTTTTCCTTTTCAAGACTGGATAGTATTCCACTGTGTGTGTATGCTGTATATTGCTTTATCTGCTGATAGATTCTGGTATTGCTTTTGTATTTCAACTGTTATGGATGATGTTACTGTCAGCGTGGATGTCCAAATATCTCCTCAGGACTGTGCTTTCAATTTGTATGCTCAGAGGAGGAGCATCAGGATTATAGGCTAATTCTACATCTAAGTTTTTGAGAAATATCCATGGGCAGCTGTGTCATTTTATACTGTGACCAGTGGTTGGTCAGTGCTCTGACTTCTTCTGTATTCTGAGAGGAATTATTATAAAAAAAATACTTTGATACAATTTATTTAAAGGTTGAAGTCCAGTTTGCTTTATACTTTCAACTGAGTCACTTTTGGATATATATATAATCATTCATCTCATCTAGATTTTTCAAATTATTGATAGAAAAACATTTCCAGTAGTCTTTTAAGTTTAGTGCACTCTCTGTGTCTCTCTGTCTCAGTCATTGTCTCTCTCTATTTATACACACATACACACAGAAAAACATGTACACACTTCTAGAAAACAAAATCTTGTATAAATATTTCAATACTTTCATGGGGGACACTAGAGGATGTTGTATATCACAGAAACCCCACTACACTTCTGGCTTTTAGAGAAGAAATGAAAATGTACAGGCAGCATTCCTAGTGACCAAAGTTACCCAAACAGTAGTTCACTGTGCTAATAAATGTCTGGAAGCTAATGGTCCCCACTTCTTGAAATTGTAGAGGGCAAAGGTAACTTGTATTAATCTCATGATCTCTCAATAAATTTAGTATTAATATGTTTATACAAGTTTTTCTTTTTCTGAAATGTGTATACATTTTTGCTCTCTCCCTCTTATTATATATATACTACACACACACACACACACACACACACACACACACATACACACACACACACACACACACACACACACACACACACACACACCTATTTTTTGAGACAGGGTCTCCCTATGTAGTTCAGGCTGGCCTTGAACTTGAAGTGGTCCTCCTGCCTCAGCCTCCCAACTGCATGCACCACCAAGCCAAGTTTAAAAACTCTCTGTGTGTGCCCTTTCTTTTTTTTTATTTTTTAAATTTTTATTTATTTATTTATTTTTTGTCTTTTTCCTTTTTATCAGTACCGGGGATCAAACTCACGACTGCCTGCTTGCAAGGCAGGCGCTTATGCCGCTGAGCTAAACCTCCAGCCCCCTTTCTATTTTAATATTGTTTGGATGCCTTTTCTTTTTCTTGTCCCAGCTTTCTGAGATTTATCTATTTCATTAGACTGCAAAGAACAAGCATTGTTTGTTTGATTTTCCACATTGGTTTTGCTTGGTTGTCTCATTGATTTTTAATTTTATTTTTCTGCTGTCTTTGATTTAACTTTGAAACTCAAGAAGCAAGAAATTTTGATTGCAGTCTTTGATTTTGAATAAACAATTTATTGCACTCAGTAGACCTGATTGCTGAGTAATATTATTTTCATTTCTGAACTGTTACTTTTTCTTTAACCACTGGGATGGAAAGGAGTGGCACAGAGCACAGATTCACTGTCTTCCAGCCAGCCACCCTCCAGGACGGAATAAGGAGAGTATTTGTTGTAGAGGCGGGTATTTGTTTTCTTTTGTTTTGAGACAAGGTCTCACTCTGTAGTTCAGACTGGCCTTGAACTCTTAGCAATCCTCTTGCCTCAACTTCTTTAACTATCTTTTTAAAAATTATTTTTAAAAATTACTACATTTCCGGGCTGGGGATATGGCTCAGCAGCACAGTGCCTGCTGGGCAAACACAAGGTCATGAGTTCAATCCTCAGTACCAAAAAGCAAAACATAATAAAAATTACTAACTTTCTATTTTTTTTTTTTTTTTTTTTTTTTTGGTACCTAGGATCAAACTCAGGACCTTGCACTTGTTAGGCAGGCACTTATGCTGCTGAGCCACATCCCCAGCCCTAAGTTTCTAACTTCTGGTCAGAGCATCAATTATTTGGAATTTGAGACTCCTTTGTCCTCTAAATAATAACATTTGTACCAATTTCCCGCAATGCATGTATTTATTACGTGTCACAAACATGTAAAAAAAAAAAAGAGAAAAAACTAATGGAGTAAAAAAATATTTCTAAACTAAATAAATAAAAATAGAAAGTCTACATATTAGGACCAGAGATGTGGCTCAGTGCCACAGTGCTTGCCTAGCACGTGTGAAGCTTTGGGTTTCAACTTTGCAAAAGGGAAAAAATGCCATGCGTGGTGGCTCACACCTGTAATTCCAGCACTTGGGAAGTTGAGGCAAGAGGATTGCTAAGAGTTCAAGGCCAGTCTGAACTACAGAGTGAGATCTTGTCTCAAAACAAAAGAAAACAAATACCCGCCTCTACAACAAATACTCTCCTTATTCCGTCCTGGAGGGTGGCTGGCTGGAAGACAGTGAATCTGTGCTCGTGCCACTCCTTTCCATCCCAGAGGGCAGACCTGCTTGAAGTCAGTGACTTTGTGATCTGAGCCTCACCCTTTGCATGCTGGAAGGTGGGTTGGCTGTAAGAATGTAAGGCTGAAGGAAAACTCAAGACCCAGGACAATACCCCAGTGCATAGATGCACACAGATGCTGAGATCAGGTCCAAACCCAACACGTCTCTGGGATGTAACACAGACATTAGCACACAACTGTAAACACCAGAAGAAGAAGTTGAACATAGATGCCCCTACGAACCTGCTAGCAGCCATCAGGGACCAGTAGGCAAGCCAGCCAAGCCAAGCCAAGCCACTGTGCACCTGCCACCAACAGGGGAGCCTTGGAGCAGCTGCACGTGTCTGGAGAAACTATCCTTGCACCCCAATGCTGCCCTGGGAATCTAGGATAGGAGAAACCAAGGTGCCTGACCCATTCCCCTACACTGTGGATGGACAGCCAACACGGGAAGTGCCTGGGACCCCAAAACCTGCTTGGCTGGAAGAACCAGGAATATATAGAGAAGAAGAAGCAAAAGGCAGTCTCTGGCCTTCAACCCATGCAGGGCAAGTCCAGGAGATGTAAACACGGGAGAGATTGGAAGCTGCACACTTGAAGTTGCTGAACTGAAGTAAAGAAACAACTTCATGAGGCTATAAAGGAAATGAGGTCAGAAATGCTATCTCAGGAGAAGAAATGTAAAACAGTTGCTGAGTGTATCTAAAGAATACATGGATAAAAAAGTAGAGGAGCATAGGAAAATGAGGTAAACCTTGAATGAACAATGTAAGAGAGATATAGAATGCATGAAACAGATTCAGACAGATATCCAGGAAGTTAAAAACTCCATCGAACACTGGCAAAATCATTTAAAAGAAACTAAAGATAAAGTTTCAGACCTTGAAAAAAATTTAAAAAAAGTTTCAGACCTTGATGACAGGTTTTCATAGTGACCATGAAAGGAAAGATCTTTAAAAAATAACCAGAAACCAGGAAATAACAATTCAATGGCTGCAAGACGACACGAAGAAAAATGATTTAAGCATGATAGGTGTCAGTAAAAAATCAAGAGTCAACACAAATAAGATAATAAGACTTTACAGAAGTAATAGCAGAAAACTTCCCAACATTCCCAGGAACAAGACCTGACAGAGAGATAAGTGAGGCATATAGAACTCCAGCTGGCCATTACCAAAGTAAATCTACACCTAGACATATAATAAAGATCCCAGAAATCCAGCACAAGAACAGAATATTAAAGGCTATTAGAGAAAAGAAACAGATCCCTTTTAAAGGAAGACCTATCAGAATTACAACAGACTTCTCAACACAAACGATCAAGTCAAGAAGATCTTGGAATGAAGTGTTTCAAGTCTTCAAAGAAAACAACTTCCAGCCCAGACTGATGTACCCTGAAAAATTGTCTTTCAAAGTTAATGGAGAAACAAGCTACCTCCATGACAAAGAACAACTGAAGGAATTCATGACCACCAAACCAACCCTACAAAGAATACTAAAGGACATTCTAGAGAGAGATAAAAATGACCATGGTTCCAGGAACAGTGGCAGGGGGGGATTGCGAAGTGGGGGAAGCAGTTGAATGGAGGAGAAAAGCAGGGAAATAGCAAGGCAGAGATGAGCCAGTGCATGTTAGCCATAATCATTAATGCAGATGGTCTCAATTCACCAATAAAAAGAAACACGGGCAGAGTGGATCGGGAGACAAGATCTATTAATATGCTTTATATAAGAAACACACTTAACTCAAAAGGAAATTCATGGACTGAAAGTCAAAGGGGAGAAAGCAATGCTCCCTGTGACAGGGAATAAGGAAAAGACAGGGGAAGCCTGCCTGCCAACCACACAATGGTTAAGAAAGATATGGCACTTTACAATGGAAAGCTATTCAGCTGCAAAG